TACATAATTCTGAGTTATTTTCTCTGAATACCGCCACCATGAATGACTGTCAAAAGATGATCACCTGGAAACCGGGTTAGTGAAATCCTCGGGAACCTGATGTTAAGTGATAAAAAATTACTCCTGGGTTCAAGAGGGTGGGTTAGTGGGAACCACATGTTCTGTTTTGTATTCTATTTGAAATTTAAATTCAAGCTGGTGAAATGCACTGAATTGTTCTCTAAAACAAAAAACAAAAAAATTTCGGCCGAAAAAAGATTGACTTTAAAATTTAATAGTCAAAGTATTGGCGAACAAATGAATAACATGCTTCTTGTGTATTTGATGTCTCCTGTGTATTCATATGTAGATTGATTCACTTGAGTGATATCGACTAAATTTGCAATTGCAATATGCAAATTCTGTAAGAGGGAACTATTCCAAACAAATGCTATCGATTTTTACCCGCCTCATCGACTATCTATTGACTCATAGAAAGCTCGACCTCGTAGTCTTATTGTTAAATATATACTCAAGACAAAAGTATGAGTCAGAAGGTATAGGTACATCTATTAGTCAGAGCCAAATGAAATTCATAGCAAATACGTTTTTGAAGACAATTTATTACACTTGATATCGCACACGATATATAATTTTCATCTCCTTAATCTCTAAAATAAAGCTGATACATTGGCTTTCAATTAAATTTGTTTTAGATTCGAAGCAAATATTTCGATTTTTGAAAATAAATGAAAAAAATCAGAAAAAAAGATATTCAAATAATTAAGTAATTTTAAAATTCAGAAATCAATTTCAGTTTTATTGAAAAAGTTTCAAAATTCAGAAAATAACTGAGTCACTTTTTGAAATAGTTTCACTAATTTCAAAATATCAGAAAACATCAGAAATATTTCAAAGTACTAGAACTTTGAAATGGGTGTGGTCGTATTTGATGGGGGTTTCAAACTGCTGCACGTGGTATAAATAAGAAACCCTGGTTGGTCGGTGAGCAAAAATGAGTATAAGATCTATTTATCTATCATCTACATGAGATTCCCGATAAAATACCATTACTATAATTGATAGGCTGAGGGAACTCAATCTGTAACGGTAAGCTCTCGACACTTGGTAAAAGTACACCATAGCAAGAGAATATGAAGTAAGAGAGCACATCCCTGTGCCCCATGAAAGTTTCTTATTAATCTATTTTTAGCTCCGCGCGCAAGCCTGAGATATTTTAGCATGCGATTCCTGATTGGTCAGATAGTAGTGATGTCATGGGTACACAGGAGATCGGCAGTGACAAAGCAAGCTTCATGCAGTTGACAAACCAAACTTTATTCAATTTCACGATAAAATGTGTTAGAGGAATTCCTTGAGAAATTCTGAAAGTTTTTTGAAGAAATCCATAAACAGCATATGTAAAAAATAATCAGCTGAGACAACATTTTCAAGCTTGTTTTTAAAGCAAAACAGTGGTCGCTCGATTGAGACTCATTCATTTTGGAGTTGATTGCAGTTATAGATGAGACTGTAAGTTATTCCACAATTCTCCACCTAAACTGAAGTACAGTTAATATTGCTGTATCCCAAGAACCCGTACTTCTGACTTGAACTTCACTGTTTTCA